ATAAGGGCAACCGAATCAGTTACATAAAATTAACCTGTTGCGATTTACTGTGAATTTCAGTGTGACTTTAATCATTTTCAGGCATTAACATGGTAAGGACTTACAAGAGACTTACCAATCGTACTGCTATATCGGAGGAGAATATAATTGCCGCGGTTGAAGATGTTTTGCAAGGAAGGCTTTCAATATGAGCTGCAGCTATAACATATACCTTGATAAACTCGAACGTGGGTAAAAAGTAAACTGAGTGAAGAAAATGAAGAGACGACGTCTGGAAGATCCTGACCGAGACCCTGACGCTCCTGACAGACAAGATCCAGATGTTCAAATATCATTTTCAACGCCATTCCAGTCAAAGTATTCGACTCAATAAGTTTTCACAACTTTTCGAGAAGAACAACTGGCAAAATATTTTATCCAAAGTTTGGAAAATAATTATGGTCTCACATATACACAACCTCAAAAATTGGCGTATGATTATGACAAAAAACTATATCTAAAGTATCCGCCGAGCTGGAATGACTCGTTATCCGCTGGAAAAGTATGGATGAAATAATAATTCATGAAGAGGTATCCAATTTTGTCATTAAAAAAGGCAGAAAATACCAGTATGGCAAGAGTCTCCGCATTTAATGAAACAAATGTGGAAGCAATTTTCGATAATTTACAAAGAGTTTTAGAAAAGTATAAGATACCACCGGAACAAACCTACAATTTGAATGGAACAGGCGTTGCCGCTGTTTTGGACGGCACAAACTGGTACAAAGCAAGCGGGTCAGGCAGTACCTATCCGCCGAACAGAGTACGAAAAATGAACATATTATATTGATTGTTTTGGACAACCATGAATCTCACAGCAGTCTCGAAACTATTTTATATTGTAGAGAGAATGGAATTATTTTCCTTACGTTTCCCTCACATTGTCTTTAGCCTCCTGACGTTGCGCTATGTGGCCCATTTAAAACCTATTTAAAGCAAGCTTTCAATTGGTTGGTAAACCGTCCTGGCAAAAGGATATCCATTTATGAAATTGCAGAAAAAGGGTATCAGAAAGCTTTCACACTGACCAATATATGTTATGGGTTTAGAAAAACTGTTATTGTGCCTTTTGATAGAGGTATTTTTGAAGAAGATGACTTGGCTGCTGGATCTGTAACAGATTAAAGGGCTCCAGAAGCAACAGACGCAACATGAACATCTGCGTTGGTCAGTAGCATTTCATCAATTTTATTACAGCCGGATGTCATATATCCAGACACAATACGGCCATACCCCAAAGCAGAGAAAAAGAAACCAATTTTGGAAAGAAGACTGCCTGAAAAATCACGAATTCTAATAGAGACGCCAGAAAAAGATAGACTAGAAGAAGAAAAAATAGCCAAGGAAGAGAAGAAGCAAGTTAAACATCAGCTGTTTGATAATGTAGAGCAACAAGCGAATGACTCCGAGAATTCCGTGGATAAAGTGAGCTATGCTGATGAGAACTCTGACTGTTTAAGTGAAATTGTTCAGTTTCGTCTACGCGCCCTGTATATAGTTGTAGGTTAAATTGGGTAATTAGGATGTCAAATCCTATTTGGGAATGGAAATTGAATAATTTCTTTTCTTTATTTTTTGTTTCCTCTTATTCTAATTGAATTGCGCGTGTTCTATGCCTAAGAATGAAACGGCTTTGCGCGTTAAACACTGAAAAAGGATACCGGCAAAGTCCTTACACTGCCGACAAGTAAAATCAGTTGCCAAATACACGTCGCCCGCTTCGTGTGGTTCGAGAAAATAGACACGCGGTTATTCCTTTGCCGCGACCGGTTAAATTGCGACGGTTTCGTTGCACTCCTACGCATTGGACCTGAACTTCTTGAATGAGCCGGCCAGCTGAGTGGAGTTTGGAAGTAAAGCAAGGTAAAGTGAAAAAATATCCTTTTCAGTTTCGATATCTTTCAATTTCATTTTAAAATCTTTCATCGATTACCATTCTATCAGCAACCTGTGGATTTTCCAGTTTTAATTTCGCACAGAAATGGACCGTAAAAATTCCGACCAAGAATTCATGCAAGATGTAGACGCTATCATAGATCCTGAATCTGGAATGCCAAATATAAAAATCGGTGACTTTTGGCTGGTCAAATATTCCACGAAGAAAACCCAAAAATACTATATTGGAGAAATGGAAGAAATAGTTGACGGAAAATATTTAACTAATTTTCTCAGGGAAAAAGGAACTGGATTTACCTTTCCCCAAGTCACTGATAAAGACCTAATAGAATTGGAACAAGTGGAACTAAAATTATCAAAGCTAAGAACGTCTGAAACTACTGCAAGGGTAGTTCAATAAATCGGTTTCAAGTAGATTTCCGTGCCTATAATGTCAACTAAATTAAATTAAAATTTTGTGTTTAATGTCTTTTATTATTTTTTACTGTTTATATGACTTATGTTTATCGTACCACCTTTATTCACCAAATGAATATGACCAAAACTTTTCGAATAAAGCAATTTGTTTTTGTCTACATCTGCCCCTACTCTGTGCAAAGCTACCCCAGCCAAGGAATACTTGGGAAAATATCAAAATCTGATCCCTCTATTAGTGGATGAGGGCTAAGCCTATGGTGATAGATAGTACCTACACTTATCAATGTCAACACCATGATCAATGTATTGAAAACCAAGCAATACACAGCTAATTATATTTGTACTGTACCAATTTCCCCACCCAGTCTTTCGAAATTTCGAAAAATACGAAAGGAAAACCCAAATGATTGATACAAAAAATATGTAGCCAGAGTTATGTGGTAAAATACATGGATTCAAAATATCTAAAAATGGTGATAGGTACCTATCTCAAAAAACGAAACTTTGCATGAAGGTAGATATGGTCAAACAGCATCCAAATGACCCCAACTATCACTCATTGAAATATTCCTATCGATTTACCAAATACCCTGTATAAGGTGAAGTAAAGTCCATTCCAAAATATTTCGTTGACTTCACGGCTATAAAACCCTACCATAAATTAGATAGCTATTAGCCTCTATTGTGTAGGTACCAGGTTCTTTTATGTAGGTACCGGGTTCCTTAATACCCACTCAAAGGTTTACAGGTACGGATTTTGTGCCCATTATAATGAAAACGAAAAAGGCGTTTCATAATATTATTTATTTATGTTATAATCTTATACTATCTTAATAATTACCAAAACTTAATATCTAATACAATATAATACAATACACAATTCAACCAAACCTAATCTATATTTAGTTCCGTTTCACTGTCACTGTCATCTTCATCTATGCCTAAACTAATTATTAATGGCTTAACATTAATACCTATTGAATTTTTCCAGCTTTGAACTGGAATATTATCTACACATTTTCTAATTAAATCTATTACAGCAGTACTAAGTGTAGGAGAGGTGTTTCCTCTCCTAACCATTGCCTTCAATTCATGCCAGATATGTTCTATTGGATTGAAAATACAATAATATGGAGGAAGACGCAAAACTGTATGACCACAAGCGCTAGCAAGATCGTCACAAATATATTCTTTTTTAACATTATATGATTTCAAAACGTTTAAAAGATCTTTCTTTGTATAATTTTCTTCGAAATACATATCATTTTCCATCATATATTTTTGAAGTTCTACTTTTGTATTACTTGCATTGGGCACTTTATTTTTTTGACGGCTGTGGTAACTAGCGTTGTCCATCACAATTATACTGTTTTCTGGTATGTTCGGAAGAAGGCGATTCTGAAACCATTCTTCAAATAATTTTGCATCGGTATCTTGATGATAATCTAATGATGAATTGGCTATTTTTTTTGCGGATAGCAGCAAAGAGTTTGGAACAAAACCATGTTCTGATCCGGCATGCAAAATTGTAATCCTCTGGCCTTTATTTGAGGGTGCTTTGGTTTGACATTTGGAGGTTGAGTCGCTCCATCCTCTTTTGGGAGTGTCATGGGTATCAAACCATGTTTCGTCAAGATATATTATCGGACGATTTTCTACCCTATATTGTTTTATGGAACTTAAATATTCTCGACGCCATGCTTGTAATCGCTGGGATTCCATTAGCACTTGCCTCTTATTAATGGTTTGATATTTGAAACCCATTGCTTTCACAATTCTCCAAAGGCTTGTTCTGCTACATAATATATCAGTTTCGTCTTCTATAAGTACCTTTTTTAGAGAATCTATTGTAGGTATTATTTGTTTACTGTACAAATCATAAATTTTCCTACGAATCAACTCTTTATCCGCTTCTTCAACCTTTCTTGACTTGCCGCTGTCACACCGTTGCTTCCTTGGCTGGATGCGTTTGGCTACGATATCTTTAACCGTAGATAATGGAGTTTTGGTTAAAACGGATGATTCACTCACACTTTGATTATGATTATAGCCTCTCTGCAGAAGGGTTAGATAAACGTTCCTCACAATTTCCTTGGCATCTAGCGATAAATGTTTTTTTTTTGAAATACCACTTCCGGTTGCAATACTACCATCATTTGCCCATGGACGCCACATTTTTTTTGTCAATATAACAGCTCTAGTTCTGCACAAAGACTAAATAATTTAACTAAAATATTCACCCACATTTACATGTACATCTCACCTAGGCAGGTATAATAAATAAAATCAACCCGGACCTGCTCACAGGTAGTCGAAGTTTGTGGTTGAGGGTATCATCAACATTTTATTGATACTTGAAGAGTCAACGAATTATTTTGGAATGGACTTTACACGTACATCTACCTTAAATTTATGTAGCTGTGTTTGGTGAGAAGTGATGACAGAATTGATTGATTTGGCTCGAAATTCGTTGAATATTGAATTTCGGTACAAATTAGGTAGACTAATACATATCAGTTTAGATTTCAAAAATAAATTCAACCAAGTTACTTAACTTGTGCAATGAATTTCAATTGATAATCCTAGATTAGGAACATCCACCGAGTATTCACAATTGGCAACAAAGCTATTAGTTCTAAAAAACTTACCATTGAATCCGTCTACTTTCTGCAATGCCGCATTCAACGCATCTTTCTCCGCCTTCAAATCGCTTGCCAATTTTTCGTTATCCTTCTTCAAACCTTCTTGCTCGCTCCTTAACTTGGCATTATCCCCTTTGAGCTTAACATTTTCATCCTTCGCCTTAGTCAACCGTTCATTGGCCTGCTTCAACTCCTGCTTCAATTTAGCCAACTCTTGCTCCAAATCCAAAATCTTCTGCTTCATTTTCTCAGCTTCCTCCACTATGGCTTCCTTTTCTTGCAGCTGCTTTCTGAGCTTGTCCAATTCCGCTTGCTGAGCTTTGCCCGCTTGTTTCAGCTTGTCGTAATCGTCAAGTTTTTGTGACTTGGCGCTGGCCTCATCGTAGTCTTCTTTTAGCTTAGCGTTATCAGTTTGTAGCGAAGCAATTTTTTGTTTTAGTTTAGCTATTTCGTCTTTTAATGCTTTGGAGTCGTCTTTTGGGGGCTTGATTTCGGCTGCGGCTTTTTTGAGTTTGGCGATTTCGTCTTGCAGCTGCTTGATTTGGTCTTTGAGTTTTTTGTTTTCGGTTTTCAGATTATCGATTTCGGTTTTTAAGTTATCGGTTTCGGCTGTTGAAGGTCTGCTATCGGCGGTTTCCTTGAGCTTAACATTTTCTGTTTCCAACTTTGCCAGTCTTTGTTTTAAGTTTGCTTCATTGTCTTTTATTTTGGCTAATTCAGCTGCAGCTTTTTTGGCGTCACTTAAAGCGTCCTTTTTGAGTTTTTCTATTTCTGCTTTGAGTTTAGCTATTTGTTGCTTTAACTTGGCGTTGTCATCTTGTAGAGTTGCTGCTTGTTGGGCTTCCTTTAGAGCATTTTCAAGGTCTTTTTTTAGTTTTTCGTTGTCTTTTTCTAGTTCTTTTAGTGGGCCGTAGTCTTTAATCGGAGCTGCTGCTGGTGCTGGGGGTTTAGAAGCTTCAAGTTGCTTTTTCAATTTAGCAATTTCAGCTTCAAGCTCGCTTATTTTTTGTTTCAACTTATTGTTTTCGTCTTGTAAACGTTTTTTACTTTCCAAATTTGTTTCATTGTCTTTTTGCACATTTTCCATGTCTTTTTTTAGTTTGTCTTTGTCTTTTTCTAGTTGTGCTAGTTTTTGTTTTAATTTATTTATTTCGTCTTGCATTTTTGACATTTGCATTGTCTTATCTTTGGCGTCATTTAAAGCTGCATCAAGTTGCTTTTTCAATTTAGCATTGTCAGCTTCTAGTTGGGTTATTTTTGGTTTCAATTTAGCTACTTCGGATTTTAAGGTTTCTGTTTCTTGAGTGCCAGTTTCAGCTGCACTTGTAGCTCGCTCCAAGTCTTTTTTAAGCTTTGCACTTTCAGCTTGAGCTTGTGCCAGTTTCTGTTTCATATTATTATCATTGTCTTGCATTTTTGATATTTCAGCAACGTGCTTTTTAATATCGTCTAGCGCTTTGTCTAAATCAGCTTTCAAGCGGGAATTTTCAGCTTCAAGCTGAGTTATTCGGCGTTTTAGCTTGTCTTCAATGTCTTTGAGGTCTTTCATGTCTAGAGCGGCTTTTTTCGCTGCATCCAAATCAAGTTTCAGCTTCCTATTTTCAGCTTCGATTTTAGCTAGTTGCTGCTTCAATTTGTCATCATCTGCCTGTGAAGTTGCAGCTTCATTAGCGTATTTTTTGGCTTCAGCTAATGCAGCGTCTAAATCTTTTTTCAGTTTAGCATTTTCAGTTTCTAGCTGCGCTATTTTCTGCTTCAATTTATTCTCGTTGTCTTTTATTTCTCGCAGTTTGGCTAAATCACTGTCAGCTTTTTTTACTTCCGCTGCCAGAGCGGCTTTTTCTTTTTTCAGTTTATCGGTATCTTCCTGTAGCTGAACTAATTTGCTTTGAAGTTTAGCTTCATCGGTTTTTAGTTGCTTGACTTGAGCTTCAGCGTCTTGTGCTGCCTTCAAAGCGGCATCCAAGTCTTTTTTCAATTTGGCATTTTCGTTTTCCAGTTGTTTGATTTTGTTGTTTAAACGTTTATTTTCTTCTTTTAATTCTAAGTTATCCATGTCACTTTTTTTGGCATTATTCCTTGAAGTCTCTAGTTCTTGTTTGAGTTTCTTCAATTCGTCTTCCAACAGTTTCCTCATATTGTCGTCTGTCGATGATTTAGCGTCTTTTAAAGCAGCACTTAACTTAGCTTTACTTTGTTCATTTTCATTTTCTAGTTGCTTAATTTGAGCTTTGAGATTTTTGGCCTCATTTTGAATTTGCTTCAAATCATCCTCAGTTTTTTTGAGCGTATTCAAAGCCTCATCCATATCGGCTTTCAATTTAGCATTTTGAGCTTCCAATTGAGCTAAGCGTTGTTTTAGCTTAGAATTGTCGTCTCTAAGCTGTGAAGCATCTCCGGCAGCTTTCAAAGCGTTTTGTTGGGATAGCTCTAAGTCTCTTCTCAATTTAGCATTGTCAGTTTCCAACATACCAACTTGCTGTTTGAATTTAGCTTCGATAGCTTGAATCTGTGCCAGTTCATTGGCCATCTTTTTCGATTCGTCCAGAGCAGCATTCGAGCTCTTTTTCAGCTTTTCAATATCTTGTTCGAGCTGCGCAATTTTGTCTTTGCACCTTTTTTCGCTTTGCCTTAAATCAGATAATGCTTCGTTGGCTTTTTTAGCATTATCAAGTGCCACTTGCAAGTCTTTTTTCAATTTAGCATTTTCCATCTCTTGCTCGGCCATTTTCTGCTTCAATTTATCATAATCTCCTTGTAAAATGTCTAATTTTTTGTCACCTATTGCAGCAGCTAGTTGCTTTTTTAGCTCAGCATTTTCAGCTTCAAGCTGTTTTAGTTTGTTCTTCAAGCCTGCCAATTCGTCTTGAAGCTGACTAGTTGCTTCACTGCCCAACAAAGCATTGTCCAGGTCTTTTTTAAATTTGTCAATTTCATCTTGCAGCCTAGCATTTTGCTGGCGCAACTTGTTGTTTTCATCTTGGAGACCAGCTACAGCTTGTGACCCACTTCTAGCTTGCTCTAGTTCCTTTTTGACTCTATTATTTTCATCACTTAGTTTATTATTTACCGTTTCTAGCTGAACTACTTTTTGCTTTAGGGCTGCGAGCTCTTTTTGCAAATCTGAAATTGTATTGACAGCTTTTTTAGCTTCATTTAGTTGCTGATCAAAGTCCTTTTTTAGCTTGGTTATTTCAGATTCCAAGTCTTTAATTGTCTGCTTGCATTTCATATTGTCGTGTTCTAATTCTTGAATTTTGTCTTGGGATTTTTTGAGGTCTGCGAAAGCAACCTGCAAATCTTTTTTCAGCTTTAGATTCTCTCCCTCCAATTGGGCGAGCTTCTTTTTCAAATCACCATTTTCGGTTAATAATTGGTTTACTCTGTCGTCACTCTTTCTAGCTTCAGAAAATGCTTGTTCCAGTTGTCTTTTTAAAGCATCCTTCTCGTCCTCCAAAGTGGCGTTTCTAGCTTTGAATTTATCGTTTTCGGCTTTGAGTTGTCGCGATTTCTCCAATTCATCTTGTAGATTTTTTATTTGTTTATTCAAATTATCTTTTTCTTGTTTTAAATTTTCAATAATTTTATCATCTTCTCTGGATTTTTTGCTGTCTTTTAATGCTTCATCAAAGTCTTTTTTCAATTTATCTTTTTCGTTAGTCATCTGAGCTATTATGTCTTTCAAATTAGCATTCTCCTTTTCTAGTTGAGCCACTTTATCTTTAAGCTTTTGTATATCGATGTTAAGCATTGCGCTGGGATCGCTGGATTTTAGTTTCTTGACCAAATCTTCAGCTGCTTCGGCTCTTTTTTCAGCATCTTCAAGTTTCTTCATAAGGTCATTTAATTTTCTGCCCAAATCGTCACCCTGTTCCACGGGTTGTAGTCTGTCCTTTCTCAAGCTTCTAAGCTGATTTTCTAAATCTTCTACGGTGGATTGCAAAGCTTCTTTATCTTTCTTATCGTCAGTTGCTGGCTTTACTGGAACTTGTTTTAATTTAAGGTTAGTTAAGTTAGCTCCCCCCCCCACTAAATATATTTGGATGAAAAGTAATCTAAAATATTGCTCTTATTTTAAATTTTGCTCCATTACGCTTTAGAGACTATATCGATTTTAAGGTGAGAGGGGGGACTAACTTAATGGTTGCCCCCCTCCCACCACTTTTTTTTCTTTCTGACTGTAGATTTTTATCCTACAAATTTTCCGTAGTTACAGAGGTTTGAAAAATATTAATTACCATCCCAATCACTTTTTTCCCTGTCTAACAGTGGATTCTTTTACTAATAATTTTGCTCCGTTATTGAAAAATTGTGCTCCACAACCGGTCCGTAGTTACAGAGGTTTGAAAAATATTAAAGCCTCCCCACCACTTTTTTCCCCTGTCTAACAGTGGATTCTTCTACTAATAATTTTGCTTCGTTATTGAAAAATTTTGCTCCACAACCGTTCCGTAGTTACAGAGGTTTGAAAAATATTAATCAGCCCCCGCACCACTTTTTTTCCCTGTCTGACAGTGGATTTTTTTACTAATAATTTTGCTCCATTTTGCTCCGTTATTGAAAAATTGTGTTCCATTACCGTTTCGTAGTTACAAAGGTTTGAAAAATATTAATCAGCCCCCCCCCACCACTTTTTTCCAATGTTTGACAGTGGATTTTTTCACTAATAATTTTGCTCCATTTTGCTCCGTTATTGAAAAATTTTGCTCCAAAACAGTTCCGTAGTTACAGAGGTTTGAAAAATATTAATCAGCCCCCCCCATCACTTTTTTTCCCTATCTCACTGTGGATTCTTATACTACTAATTTTCCTCCATTTAGGGGCAAAAATGTCAATTTTTCTCAAAGGGGAAAAAGTATAAGTACAGTCACAGAAAAAAAAATGTTTAGATGGAAAATGGTGAGATTTCCCAGTCACAGAAAAAAATAGTGTATTATAGACGGGAAAAAAGTAAGATTTTAGCGCGAGGTGTGGTTTGGATAATACAGCAAGTATAATAAATAGCTATATTTTAAACCATGTAATTTTCACATTTCTTATTGGTTTAAACTTTAAAGGTTCGAAAATGTCACTTTACTTTTGTTTACTAAAGCGGGCCGAAAGTGACAGTTCTGTCACTTTCTGCCTGGAGAACTCACTTTCGGCCTAAGTTGTTCTTTCAGACCTAAACACACATTCAGGTGCAATGTTTGTATTCAGAAGTAGATGTCACATGTTTTTATGTTGTTGAAATTTCACAAGATGTCAATATTGGTGTCAGAGTGTCAGTTTGGAAATTCCATTTTTGTCATATTTTTACCTTATTTTTTTCAATAATTAATGGTTCAAAATAAAATAGTATAACTGTTAGAAGTTGATGATAAAAAAATAAGCAAACCCTTTGCTTGACTCACACTTTTTGAGAGGGACCCTTTTTCCCTTGAAGGGTAAAAAGATAAACGCAGGTAGCAGGTAGTCTTGTGACGGTCTTGTCAAAGACACTTGTAATTTTTCTATTATTTTTGAAATATATTTTTGTCCGAGTGTTCGAGAAATCGTCGTTTAATTTATGACGGGTTTATACAACATTTGCATAGTCATAATCATATTCATAGTCTTAATCTTAAGGCGAGTTTAAACAATTTCATAACTTTAATTTAGTGAGTAATTCACAATCTAGTGCATAAGCTTTAAAGTCACATTTATTAATTTCTATGGAAGCGTTTATACATCTATTTAATGCTCAATTCATAATTTAGTTCATATTGGATAACCTTGAAAGTTCCCAACTTTTAACTTTTATGCATTAAATTAGGAAAAAACTGGACCTTTCGAGTTCTGTCAGTGTTAACTTTCAAAATATCAATAGAATTTTAATGACATTTCAAAAATTATGTATTAAATTATAAAGTTGTTTAAACTGGGGTTTTGAGTTATGTATTAAATTAGGCATTAAATTATGATAAAATTACGACTTAAATTTATCAAAAGTTGTTTAAATCCGCCTTAAGTCTCAATCATAATCACAATTGACCTTTTGTTTGGACGCCATATTGCGGTGCGCGAACATAGTTGCCAAAAGAAGAAAACAAAAATTACTAGCAGGCTGTCAACATTAAAAACAAAACTAACTAAATGATTATTTTATTATTTATTTTCTGGCCAATACAGGCTAAAATTGATAGCTTTTCTTTTCAAAAACATTCGTAATAGGCGGCAAATTTAAATTTAAAATGCTATTTATTCAGTAACTTTTGTTTTTAATGTTGACAGTACGCTAGTAATTTTTTTTTTCTACTTTTGGCAACTATGTTCGCGCACCGCAATATGGCGTCCAAACAAAAGGTCAATTTTAGAAGCCGTTAATACAATGTCATAAGCTTAAAATAAAATCAACTCTAAAGGCGGATTTAAACAACTTTTGATAAATTTTAGTCGTAATTTTTTCATAATTTAATGCGTAATTTAATGCATAAAGCTACATCCTCAATCAATTTGGTAGCGAAGTGGCACTTCGGCACGCGTGCTGGAAAATTGATACCCATCCTCAATGCTGTCAATTTTCAATCTGCTCTGCGTGTAGTACGGTCACGAACCGTGCGTTCGGTATTTTGATCTGAGTTCTCCGAGCATAAATTTCCGTTCGTTTATTCAAAAAGTGTACTCGGTGCAGGCTCATTCGCGTTAGTTTATTAAAATTTCGAGCCCTCTGATACAGCGTTTAACTGCTCTGTGCGCTAGCTGGTCACGTGATTACAGCTCCACTCTGCTCTTCGAGCAAAATACCGAACGCAAGGATAACCTGAATTATTTTTTACCGTACTGCGCATGACACAAGTCAGCACGCGTCGAAAAAGCTTGCAGCTTGCAAGCTTGCACTTCAAAGTTGGCGTGCATGCTAGCATGGAATTGAATTGAGGATGCTAACGTTAAACAACATTGTCCTAGCATGCGTGCCGAAGTGCCACTTCGCTACCAGATTGATTGAGGATGAGCCTTAACTCACATAACTTATGCACTAAATTGTAAATTACGCACTAAATTAAAGTTATGAAGTTGTTTAAATTCGCCTTAACCCGACTTTTTGTGGATTCAGTTGGCAGTTCTATACTTACTTTTTTTAGTTTTATTTATTTTTTCAAAGTGCAAAGAGTTGAAATTATCGAAATTGGAATTATTGTAGTGACGCGGAAATAAACCACCAAAAAAACAATTAAAGGTTCTGATTATTCTAAACAACTAAAGAGCTAGGATCCAACTACCAAAAATAATCAAGAATAACAAGGACTTACCAAACAACCATCCCAGGAGAGATCATCACTTCGACAGCACAACCAGAAACTTCAATTAAAATTTATCTGAACATCGATATCCAGAAATTATTGAAAGCCGACACCCTATATTAACACATTGAAATGTGAATAAAACAAAAGTTCATGGACCTTTTTTTTAAGTGCTTTCAACAATTAACATTCCAAAGGAGCCGAAATATTTCTAAAAGGATCAATAAATCATGCACGAGTCTATATGATGATACCCACTTAACAAACCACTTAGCGACGCCCTTGATAACCTATCTTGCATGATTAGAAAAAGAGAGCTTAATTGTAATAAATAAAAGTTAGAAAGCAATAAAAGATGACATACGCGCGCAACTCGTAGGCTGCAGTGTAGCCAGATTTTATTGTTGCAGAACAAATGTAGACAATACAAATCGAACATTATAACATCAAAGAAGTGATATAGTGTCAAATGTTTTACAACGCCTTAAATCAGACGAAAGAAGAGCTTTAAAGTGGATGAATATCGTTTGCACTTTTATTTTGATAAATTTTTCATCCGGCAACATCGCTCAATGAAATTGCAAAGGAATATGTCAAGTATAATCTAACATAACCTTAAACGAAACTGCGGTGAGTTCAAGTAATATTTAAAGTATTAGTTTGCTCTTTGTCAAATTACACGTTACAAAGAAAGAAGGAACGATTCATTCTGAACTGGCTCCTGAATAAGAATATGGCGCAAGCCTGTCACAAACTTGCTTCTCATTGGACGCTCACCTGCAGCCTACAAGCGACGCGCGCAATCGAGGTAATAGGAGATCGGTCTATTAATTGAAAGGGGACCAAATACACTAATTGATCGGATGATTCAATCACGAAAAATCGAGGTCAGAAAAAATATAGAAATTCAAAACAATGGAGGGACCAATGATATAAAAAGGCAACTTTAACAGGAGAAAAGCAGTGTTCGAGAAAAGAGTGATCGAGAAAGAGCGAGTAAACTGGCAGAACTACGGCGTGAAGGATTATCTGATTTTTATATTGTACCAAATACTTTACAGGATGTTGAAATTATAGTATGAAGACCTGTTACCGATAAAGAAGGAGTACTAGTTATCAAATCATCACAATTTTTAAAGCTTACTGAAGATGAAAGTATTTTGAACAATTTTCCTACAAATATTTTTGGAAATGACGATAAACTTAAGCTTAAAGTGTGTGAAGAAACGATTATTTATCCTGGAATAAATCTTTTATGCATTCAAGTAAGTAAACTGGAAGACTATTTGGAATGCAACCAGTCGAAACACTTACGTAATGGTTTAACTATAATTATTGCAAAACACAAAATCAAAATGGAAAACTCCAAAGGATTTTTAAAAATATTGGATACAAGTGCAAAAGAAATCGTCATAAGAGCTAATACATGTATGGCAAGAAGTAATACAGTTCTCCAAGAAAGCACAACGCCAAATGTGGAAGAACATCTTGTTATTTCGAAATATCCAAATTGCTTCGATGAAAGTAACGCTCTATTAAGCAACATCGACACTCAAATGACTATAGAACTAATAGACTGTGAGATAGGGGCTGTTTAGTGGAGTCATTTTTTTTTTGTCTGGAATTTTGAGGGCTGAATGTGGCTACTAAGCTGATGAGAATATGGGTAATTTTAATGCCGGCCTCCCGTTCGAAAATTGATTTACATGAAGAAATTTTTTTTTA